GAGCCCGAACCCTTCAGCTCTCTTCGCGTGAGGCTCTGGTCGATTGCTTTGTTTGCTTTGCTCGAGGATCTTGGATGGGAATGTGAAAAGTTGTACCATTAATTGTCAGCCAAACACCTTGGCAGGTGTCTCTGGTTATGGGCGGGTGAGCTTTGTTGTGACGTATGTGGCCCCAGTGGCTGGAGCTCCTTTATACACCCGAATCGTATCTACGGCTCAAGCGCCGGCGTTCGGTCTGGCCCATCTCGTCCTCCGAATCTCGAATGTACTCTAGACTCTTCAGCACTTGTGGCGAGCGTGCCAGATGAGTTCGCTCTGAAAAGTGGGATCTACAAATCTATAGGGAGATGGGGGAATATCTTTATCGAAGTAATTACCCAACTCGTCAGCAATTGCCAAAATTGTTGCCAGTGGTCGGCCATTCTCGTCTACAACGTTCGGCATCCTGGGAAAATTTTGGGTTATTTTTGTTGTGTGTACTATTTTGTACTATTTCCGAATGAATTGAAAAGTGTTTTTTTGTCAAGGGCATGTGGACATGTGATCTGTTCTGCTTTGTCAAGGCAAGGCCTGCCTAGGATTGAATTTCGATGTTCGATACTATGATTTGGTGACTGGCGACTGCCAGCTCCGTCTGCTCATTGTGTGTGTGCCAATTATTACGCCTGATTTAATAAGCTCAATGGGTCTCTTAACTGCTCTAAGTGGCTGCTAATCGTTTCGGGGTTCCGAAGAAAAGTGAAAAGGAAAATGCGAAAATGGAAATAAAATTGTTGTGCGCGTTGCGACTGTGACGGGGAAAGCACATCAAACGAAATTGATGACAATTGAAGCTCTCCTTACCAACCAAGGAGTCGACTCCTCCACCTCCACCTCCATCTCCAGCACCATTTCCATTCTTCTGCTTTGGCACAGAAGACAGCTGAAGTCTGTCGAAGGATGCGCCATTGACGCTAAACTGAACGGAAGCAGGAAACGCGCCGCAAATTGCAAAGTTTGAGCAGCACTTTTGCTCTCTCTGTCTCTCTTTCGCTGTGGAAATTAATTTTATTTTCGGTTTTTATGCCTTGGCGGGAAATTGAGAGCAATTTTCATTGCACTTTTCCCATTTCCCCCCATGATTATAATAAATGCGAATTTCCTCGGCCATTTCCTTGGCATTTTGGATGACGCTTTTGATTTGAAGGCGTGACCAGTCACTGCCATGCCAGCCTCAGCCCTTTGTTTAATACCCTGTCCCACATTCATGAACTCATATTTCGATGAGCGGAGCCATTTTTTTGTCGAGGATTTCGTTTTATTTATTCTCGCTTTCTGCATGAGCAGCTTCAAGGACACGACCGAAAATTCAAGTGCACGGCACTTGAAATAACAGAGAAATAACAGCGAAAGAAAGGACTAGACAGAGGACAACCCACACTGGACACAAGAGTGGACAGAGTGGACAGAGCGGACAGCGTAACAAAGGCAGTGTGAAACTGTCATTTGTGTGCGAGAGCGGAGAAAGAGAGTCTAGCCCATATGTGCATATGTATAATACCTTCTATGGGGTTAAATCAGGCGCATAATTATCATTGCCCTGGGCTCACGTGTGAGCGGACTTAGGCCTGGGACATGTGAAAAGGTGAAAGGTCGAGGGGATAAGCGATTCGGCTGGGTGTTTGAGTGTGGGATTTTGACGGCAGAACAGAGCAGGCTGGAGTGGAGTGGAGTGGAGTAGAGTGCAGGGCACTCTGAATGGCTTATTCAAATTGCTAAAGACACGCATTATTTGTGCTAATTTGTGGGCAATTTCCTAATAGATACACGTACTTTTCGCACATAATTCCAATACCATACAATCCGAAAGTGTTTTGGGCAAGCTGCTTAAACTATTCACAGACCCCAGCTAAGGATTCACAGATCTCACAGAGGAAAGAACTGCCGCTGAAGACGTGCTCAGAGTACTCTACTAATACCTACTTCAAATGCGTTCCAGTTCCAGGACGAAAGCGTTTCCAAAGGTAGCGGAGAGGTCTCTGGGGGCGAAAGGGAACACGCGCAGGTCAGAGCCACCCCAGTCCGGGGTGAGCTAACAGGGCATTTGATGGAACCAAGTCTATTAGAGTCAATTAGCGAGCGATTATAATGACTGGGCATCCCTCTGTGTCAGTCAGCCCCCCTCTACGGAACGGAGCGCGGCGAGCCCTGCTGCATCGCTTTAAAGTCATTGAAAAATTTGCACATAAATTGCGTAAAGTGCGGATTTTTTTATATTGTGTTTTTTGTTCTGCCCTAACACGTTTACACAGGCTCGTCCTTGTCCTTGATGATGCTGGTTCGGGTTCGGGTTCTGGTCCTGTATCCTGCCTGCCGCACCCTTTAGCCTGTTCGCACACAAATGGCAATCACCCCCAATACACACACACATACAATGCCCTGCTCCTGCCCCTGCCCAGGGGTGGTGGTGCATGCACATACCCGTGTGTGCGTGTCGCAGTTGGTTGAGTTTCCTCGGCTTTTTATTTGGTCAGCGAAAGCGCACACATTGTCAGCCCAATTTCACACAAAAAATGCAATCAAATGTGACGCTTTTCATTATTCTTGCGATTTATATTTTCAGCCAGTCAAGTGGGAGAGCGAATGGGAATGGGAACGGGAACGGGAACGGGCAACGGTCCGGTCCTGTGAGGAGGAATGGGAATGTCAAAAATTGAAATCAATCAAATTAAATTGCCTTGTTCGATGGAGATTTTTACCCGGTTCAATTTGCCTTTGCAATTCGGATTAATTGGGATAAAACTAAAAAAGTATTTGTTGCACAAACCCTTGACAATAAATGATGCTGCATAAAAGAGATAATGAAACCGTCAAGAGGGTAGTTTGCATCATAGTGTAAATGTGTACCAAGTGATATTAAATATATCGAGAGTATGCATGTCCAAAAGTTATGAAGCTATCTTCAGAGTATTCCTTATGCCTTATGAAGTATATCTCAAGGCTGGCATAAAATAGAAACAGGCAAAGGAATGTAAAGGGAATATTCTAATAAAGAGCATGAGTTCACATACCAATTCCGAACAAATAATTGTATTCCAAACCAATGAAACAATAAGGCATGTACTTACTACCTATTCAAGAGCCTAAAATTAAGAAGAGTTTTACAATCTCAGAGCTTCCAACACTTTACGCTTCAATGAACTCGAAAGTTTTAGGCTGTACGGAGTATTTTTGGTGGCATTGCCAGGCTTCATCGATAATAATTGAAGTGAAAACAATGTGTGTGCTCTGGGGTGTGTTCTCTGTCTCCATACAGGCATATCCCGATGTGTGTGTGTTTCTGTGAGCGAGTGTGTCGTTAAGCTCCTTGAGGAACTTGATGCCCTCATTGTTGGTTGGCAGTCGGAGCAGCTATACTAATTGACCATATGGGTCGTTTTGTGTGGCACTCTTGAAATCGTATATATGTGTATGGTCGTTAGAGGTGGAGATTGAGAGGTTACTACGGTTATATGCCGGTTCGAGTCGATATTTGTGCACTTTATTATGAATTTTAAATCGAATTTGTATGGAAATTAAGAACTGAAAATTGCATTATGACGACGACATTGTGTGCGTGTTTATTTTTGTTTTTGTGCAAATTGATTAGTGGGCTAAGCCTTCTCCGGGGGTTGGTATCGCCAATCCCGCCCTGAATCTGGTCTGGTCTGGTCTGGTCTGGTTATGGTCTTGGAACTCGTCTGAGCCGTGTTTGTTGTTGTTGTGCAGTGCTCTGTAAATTGATTCGCTTGAGAAAGTGATTTGCGGTCGGGGCAAGTCTGCGCTGCGCCCATTTTTGTCCATCTCATTAGCGTCATCTACTGCCCTGCTACTCTGCTCCTCTGCTGCATTGCTGCACTGCTGCTGGCTAAGTGCCAGAGATTCGCGCCCATTAATTACCCATTTGAAGATAGATGCAACTGCAGAGCAGACGAAAGCGTGTACAAATTTCATTCATAATGCAGTTCGAGTTCTAATTAAACGGCCCAACGCAATCTTGACTAATTGTCTTGGCAATGCCCGGCGAGTCCATTTGTCTCTGCGCGTTCCTGTTCCCTGTTTTGTTGTGTGTTTCCCCCGCCGTTTCCGTTTTCTCGGAAAGAAATGCATTGCTGGTAATCGGATTGACATTGGCAATTTGTTTTGTTATGCCATGCCGCCTTTTGATCATCCTCATCCCCAAACCAATCCCTGGCTACCGCCGCCTTGCGTCATCAGCGTTTTCGGCCTATCGAGTTTCCCCATAGCATAAACACAATTCAGTATTCTTCTCCCGCTTTGGAATTTGTTGTTTGTGTTGGCCTAAAAATAGTTGAAATCGTTTTGAAATCCCACGAAAACACAAGAGATGTTCAGGAAATATTTTTGGCATTTGAAAAGCTTTCGTGGCAGGAATGTTCGAAATATGAAACGACGCCCCTAGCTGGAGGCTTAAAATAGATGCCAGGAAATGCTACGCACACAGATGATCGTTTGGAAGCTTTTGCGGGATCAGATCAGGGGGATAGTGTATGTATTGCTATTCTGGATATGTTGGATTTGGATAACTGCCCGCCCTTGTTCTACATTTTTCTTTCCAAATATCCATGGTTTTTAGAAAAAATTAAATCTAAAAAATCGTTTTTATTTATAAATAATTATAAATTGTTTTAATTAATATTACAATCATGAGATTATTTTACATTTCGTAGACAATAGACCCCATCCGCTCTACTGAGGGGAAGATGTTAGTTCTATACAAAATAGATGAGGTGTCGGTTCATTCGGTAAAACAATCAAATGGCGATCAACATTGATGGAAACACGCGAGCGAGAAACAATTGGATGGGGATCGGTGTTCGGGTGCATAGATTGATTGATTCATTGATTGAATTGATTGATGTTGTTCAGTCAGTACAAAAGAGTATTCTGGAACCAAGGATGACACATTGGTAAACTAATGACATTCAAAAACAAATGGGTGGGCATCTCTGATGGCGTTGGTGGTGTAGCACCTGCGCCACACAGCCAAAAGACCACAAGAAGCAGCCAAAGGCTATGATGGCGCAAGCGCCGAGGGTTGAGATGTGGGGGTGTGTTGGGCAACTGCTTAGAAGCACTTGCGGTGGACAATGCCGGGGCCGGACTCGTCGTATTCCTCCTTGGAAATCCACATCTGCTGGAAGGTAGACAGGGAAGCCAGGATGGAGCCACCGATCCAGACGGAGTATTTGCGCTCTGGGGGAGCGATGATCTTGATCTTGATGGTGGATGGGGCCAGGGAGGTGATCTCCTTCTGCATACGATCGGCAATACCGGGGTACATGGTGGTGCCACCGGACATGACAATGTTGGCGTACAGGTCCTTACGGATATCCACATCGCACTTCATGATCGAGTTGTAGACGGTCTCGTGGATGCCGCAAGACTCCATTCCCAAGAATGAAGGCTGGAACAGGGACTCTGGGCAGCGGAAACGCTCGTTGCCGATGGTGATCACCTGACCGTCGGGAAGCTCATAAGACTTCTCCAGGGAGGTGGAGGCGGCAGCGGTGGCCATCTCCTGCTCGAAGTCCAGGGCGACGTAGCACAGCTTCTCCTTGATGTCGCGAACGATTTCACGCTCAGCGGTGGTGGTGAAAGAGTAGCCACGCTCGGTGAGGATCTTCATCAGGTAGTCGGTCAAGTCGCGACCAGCCAGATCCAGACGGAGGATGGCATGGGGCAGAGCATAACCCTCATAGATGGGGACGGTGTGGGAGACACCATCACCGGAATCCAGAACGATACCGGTGGTACGGCCGGAGGCGTACAGGGAGAGCACAGCCTGGATGGCGACATACATGGCTGGGGAGTTGAAGGTCTCAAACATGATCTGGGTCATCTTCTCGCGGTTAGCCTTGGGGTTGAGGGGGGCCTCAGTCAGCAGGACTGGGTGCTCCTCTGGGGCCACACGCAGCTCGTTGTAGAAGGTGTGATGCCAGATCTTCTCCATATCATCCCAGTTGGTGATGATACCGTGCTCAATGGGGTACTTCAGGGTGAGGATACCTCTCTTGGACTGGGCCTCATCACCGACATACGAGTCCTTCTGTCCCATACCGACCATCACACCCTGGTGGCGTGGACGACCGACGATGGAGGGGAAGACGGCACGGGGTGCGTCATCACCGGCGAAACCGGCCTTGCACATGCCGGAGCCTGAAGGATAACAAGAGTGACAAACGGTCCATTAGTTGGATATTCTTCAGTTGTGCGGGTCTCAAACGGAACGGACAGTATGGGAATGCCTAGGATTTCCCTCTGTGAGGTGACATTGCGGAAGAGACTATGCAGTATAGTGAGGGATCTTTTAGAAAGATTGAATGGGGAAATACAATTTCCAAAGATTTCTATGTATGTATCTCTAGGGGCCATTTTGATTGGCAAATTAATATTTTCAATTACTGCTATGCAGGCAACGAAACTATCTAATTTTTTGTGCGGATCGGGGAAATTATTTTGAATATCAAATATTTGTTTGAATTCCTTGGGAATTTATGTTGTTGGGAGGGAATAGTTTTGGGAAGTTTGGGAATTCCCGAAGGTTTCTTTTCATATCATAATGTGTTGAAGATTCCACTTTGGATATTTCACATTTTGAAGATCTTTCACTTTTGCTTTCGATCACTTTTTGCACTGAACAACTAATATATCCTTGTGAATTTATTCCGTTTGAATTCTAAGTTATAATCCGTTTGATATCTCCTGGTATATGGTATGGGGATACGCACCATTGTCTACGACCAAAGCAGCAACCTCATCGTCACACATTTTGTTTGAGTTTGGTTTGTTTTACGGGACCACGGGTGAATTTAAATCAAGAATTACGACAATGTGTACTCTTTGGAATACAACTGACTGACTAAAGTATCGCCGCGTTGGTACTCGGATTTTATACCGCCACCGAAATGTCTTTTCGTCCAAGAGGAATACGGCGGCGCGCAGCACCCGGCACCCTCTCGATGCCCCCCTCAGTCGTTGCGGTAGCAGCACCAGCAGCAGCGCCAGCAACGGCAGCCACAGCCCCATACACCCATACAGTTGCACCACATATCCACCGCACACAAGAGATATGCTGCCGCTGGCCTACCTTCGTCCGACGCGCCTAAAAATAGATCCTTCAGCATAGCGCCCCCCGCTTTGGATAAAAGTAGCGTGACAGAGCGAGAGGGCACCATAAACGGGGAGCAGTTCGGCATGATCGAGCATGCATGCAGATCGCTATCGGCTATCGGCATCGGCTGGGGATCGGCGTCGTGTTGGAGGAGAGAGCGAGAGAGAGAGAGAGAAATTCGTGGTCCAAAAGTGCCGTATAAGGCAAGGCGGCGCCTCCAGTACTGGCTCTCGCTCTCTCGACGTCTATGGCTATGGATCTCTTGCCCTCGCTGTCGATCTCTCTCTCTCTTCCTTTCCTGCTATGCGGGTGTGTGCGCTGAGAGAGGATTGTTTTTTTGGGTCGGTGGGGGATGGGATTCTATTTTGCCGCCGTTCGTTTCTTCTTCGTTGTTTTCATAACTTTCGTGTTTCTGTGATGTCGTAATAAATTCATTTTCTATTTTCGATATATTTGTATGTACATACATTGTACTACATCGCATCGCATCGCTATATGTATTCGCCCAGTCTTTGCACCTTCCCATCCATCGATTTTTGTAAATTCAATGTGAATTCCTTCCACTTCTATTTTTGGTCATATTGCTCACTGCTCTCCCGTTTTGCCCGCGACCCATGCATGCATGCAGGTACTTGTAATGAGCATTAATTAAACTAATTGTTTATTTACAAATAATGTTGTGTGCATCAGTGGCATGCAGTGTCTGCTCTTGGTGCAGCAACAGGGGTTACCGTTACATGTCAGCTTTGCAGGGTTCCCATTTAAATTGGATTTCCTATGGTCTATTCATAGATCAAGACAACTAAGTGGGGCATGTTTACATTTTATGGCACAATCTGTGCCTACGGACGACGTTCTATATTACCCCTTTTCCTCTCTCTGTCTTTTAGCTACATAAATATGTAGTATCTCTGCATGTATTTTTGCCCTAGTATACATATATTGTATAGAATATCTGGTTTACTATGAAGGTACAAATGTATTTACTTATGTGCATATGTAAGTTCATATAATGCTCCAAAGAAAGAGATCATGGTAATGGAATGACCTCTGTATTTTAAATTGGCAAAACAATTTCCAACAGTACCAATCAATCTATAAGTTGACTATTTGTAGTAATACTATAAATCTGAAATTAGATCAGGTGGCAACAAGTTTTGCTTTCCTGCACGGTTGCTAGAGCTTGCTACTTGAAAGTCGGACATCTATCTTTTATCTACTTTTAAGTATTGTAGCCTGTTGAAATATATTTTGCAATTATGTCACTTGCTTCTTGTACCAAATATTAAATGATATTAACGAAATAAGATATTTACATAGATGCCTGTATTATGACTTAAATAATTAAAAAAATAGAGAGAAGACTTGCAAAATCCATCTAAAATCTCCAGAAACAGAACTTTCACTAAAAATTTTTCCCCAAAATGTCACTGCACATTTTCTTGCAGAATATTTTTGATTGAAAAATATCTAGTTTAATGGGTTCACTTCTCTCACTTGCACTTTTACCCTTGTGAGTTCTCCAACTGTTAATTCGAAGTTAATTAAAAGTAGATCAATGTCAGACCTTGCATGACTGTCAAACACTATGTAACCAACAGTTTATCCCCTGCCTCAGGGCCACTGCAGACAAATGACAAAGCCACACTTTGTCGTCGGGCAGGGAATAGCGAAAATAAAACCAATTGCAAATAGATTATATAAATGGCTAAATCAAAATTTAATAAAGCCCAGCTAAATGTGCATTCATTGGGGTCTGGGCTGGGCTGCTCCGTGGCCAAGGAATTGGAATTTTAATAACGATCTCGTATCCTGGCAGCCAGCTCGCCTTCTTGTTGTTTTAGTGCACGTGCGCCAATTGCCAGCACTAAAGGGATTCATTTGTGAATTACCAATGCCAAAAATTCAAGTCTGCCGAATCCAGTCCCCACACGGTCCACACCCCACAGACGTTCCTAAACAAACAGCGGCCCGAGGTCGAGGCTGGGAATCAACGAAAACAAATTGCAATTGAGCCAGCAAAGGGCAACGGTGTTGGGGTTCGATGGTGGATGGCTGGATGGCTGGATGGTTGGCTGGCTCATGGCTGTTTCAATGGCTGGGTGACAAAAAGTGGCCACCACATCACACAGATACGACTACAAACACGGGAGGGATACAGTCGCGATGCGCATTTGACAGCTCAAGCGGAATGCACACAGGCGACGACAATGATGACGATGATGAGGATGGTGGCCATGAGAATATGGATGAAGCTGGGGTAACGCCCAAAGCCAAGGCAACAAGCCGTTACATGGCCGTATAGATGAAGGGAAGCTGCCTGCGGCTCACACCCTCATCCGGAGTCACTCTGTCTTGAACGGTCTTAAATTCCTGGGATTCTCATGAATTTGTGCGGTATTTTTATTAAGTTGCCAATTGGACAATTGAGCGGCTGAGCGCCTGAGAGTCGATCAAAGTGCGAGGGCGGGTGTGGACGAGTTTCCCTTACATTCTGTGTGAATTAATTTCAAATTAGTTTGGCACATGCATTGTAGGACCTATTGGATTTACTCAGAACAGAGTGCACACAAATAAACAAAGCCTGAAAGGAGGGATTGAATGATAATGAGAGAGTACCCAGGGCTGAGAAGGGTTAACCACAATCCCTTAATAGCCCTAATCACCATCGATGACCGATGATGATTTGTTTAGCGCATTAGCAGCTCCAGTTCTGACCACTGTCCAGCGTCATAAGCGGCCAGCAGCTGCAACAATCGCATCTGCCACTTGGCAGTCTTAATTCCCTACCCTACCCTACCCCCTCGACCGGGTAAATCAGGTCAGCCGAATGCATATACATAAACACTCCATTTCGATTCAGATTGTGTGTGTTTCGGGAATGCATTCATCTGTGTTAATGGGGGAAAAGTCCGAGGCGCTTTGAAAAACTTTGGAGTTTGTTAGGGTTTGGAGTGCAGTCGAGGTTTATTTTTAGTGGTTTACAATGGATACACACACGCCGCACTGGAGATGGAAATTTTCCATCAAATCCTATCGTATTTCAGTCTAAAAATTTCCCTGGATTGTCGAACCCATAACTTAATATCTAGTCATACATGGGTGTGGGGGCATTCACGTGCTGCTTGCAATCATCCCCAGTCGAAGCAGACAAGTGGCAAAATAAAATCTACATATGTATGAATATGCAAGACCCCACAAAATACTTATTCTATAACTGATCCATCTATCTACATGTATGCATATGTGTGTGGGTGAGTTCTGCGGGCACTTGTATCGTCTTTGCAGACCGAAATATCTTCGGATATGCGCTCCACAAAGTATTCATTCGCATTTGTATTATATCTATGTATGTATGTGTGTATATATCCGTTCGTATATCTAGTTAGTCAGTGTCTGCCGCACTGTACGTCTCCAGAGCTAGCCATATATTAAAGAGCAAGAACAGAACAGAGAGCGTAGCATAACAAGAAGAGCAAGAACTGAATATAGAAGAAAATAATCGTATCTTTTGACGCCAATTTGTGTACATCTTCTAGTTCTATAGATTCGGGTGGACCCACGCTTGGATTAGTTGAACTTCTATAGATGAGACTGTTAGAGCGAATGTTTAATGTAGATTGCCAACTGAGATATCTATTAGGATTTTCATTATCTTATCTTTGAAGTGTTACTAATTGTTGTGGGAGTAGTTTCATCTCATTTTGCTGCATCAAATGCCGCTCTCTAAGGAATTCCCAAATGTTTGGGCCACCCCAATTGATTGCATATTTCTACATTGTGGGACCTATACGTGAGGGCAGTGGAGGTACTAGTGCCAGCAACAAAAGGTGACGCGGACATTTATGGTGCGTGCTAAAACATTTCTGTTCTCTTTTCTGTTTGCAGTATTCCTACACAGATACATCTCCAAGATACACACACACACACACACACACACACACACACAACCATACCTAACTATAGATCCAACAACAATCATAATCATAGAATATTTTGTTCAATAATTTGTTTCTTTCTGGTGTATTTGCCATTCGTTGGTTTCATTTCGTTTGGATGAATTTATTTTTATCTTTGTTATTTTATATATACAAAAAACACAAAAAATAAAAGCATCAGCACAGATCGAGCGCGTAGGAAAAACAGAAACAATATTTAAAATCAGAAGGAAAGAGATATAAGAAACAAAAAATAGCGCCAACACTTTCATCATCGACCAAACGGTCGCGATCAGCTGTATGTCGTCAATATGCAATATATCCCAGAAGGGGCGAATGGCTGTGCGGTAAGGGCTGGGCAAAAGAATCGGATATACATGTACAGTATTATAGTATGTGATGTGTTTTTAATTAGAGTACAATTGAGATATGGATGGGATATAAATATGCAGAGAAATTGGAAGATATTTCTGTGTGTTCTGTTAGCCTCATGCTCATGGCCATCGGAGGCGCTACTCGCTTCCGCTCGGACCACTCATGGCCATGGGAAATAATCTTCATTAGCATCATCATGATGAGCATCATCAGCATCACGATCACGATCAGCTAGTATCCACACAGAACCGCCTTTTACTCGGTGGTTTTTGACAATATCTATTTATAGATATTCTATCTGTGGAACACTTGTCGCTGTCTGCTCCAAAAAGCCCCAGACCAAACCCTCTCATGTTGTGTGCTGCCAAATCATTTAGGAATTTTAATTCGACTTCTTCAGGCGTCACCCTCTGACTGTGTCTGTGCCTGTGCCTATGCCCGCGGCTGTGACTGTGCCT